ATGCTGGCCTGTCCCCTACATCCCCCGGTTTCGGGCGCTTGGAGGACGCACTAGCCAGCAGCAGAGGATGCTAGCCCGCTGTCTCTCCCTGCCTCGGGGCCTTTCCGCCCCCATCCCATGCATTCTTCCTAACCCCCACAACAACCCTCGGTATTAAATGTGCTCCGCAGAGCCCCGGGAGGCAGCGGCAGGCTCCTGGGTGAATACTAATAGCAATGCCGTCCGGTCGCCCCAGACTTTCCCACACATCTGCAGCCACTTAATGTGGGAATCGTTAACCCTCTGCTTGCGCAGTGCCTGAAACGCGGCGAAGGAGCGAAGCATGGCCGGGACGCTCCCCACCAGGCCCCAGCCACCTTTGGGACCCCATGTCTCCCGTCATGGGCTGTGTGGGCAAGCCATGCTCAGCACCCACCCGCTGCACGGCGAGAACCCAGCTCTGTGCCAGCGTAGGGGGAATCGCATCACCAGCCCAGCGAGACCAGCGGCCCCGCAGGCGATGGAGAGCAGTGAGAGGTGCCAGTGTGTGTCCCTGTCCCCAGTGCCCTCATGAGGGTACTCCCAAGATTTGTGGCATTTGCGTTTTGCCAGGAAAGATGGATCCAGACCCCCCACCGAGCCCTGGGGAGGGGAGTGGGGGGCTGTATGGCAGTGCTGGCAGCGCATCATAGAATCATTTAGGTTGGAAAAGACCTTTAAGATCATCACGTCCAACCGTTAGCCTTGCACTGCCATCCCACCACTAAACCCTGTCCCTAAGCACCACATCTACCCATCTTTTAAATACCTCCAGGGATGGGGACTCAACCCTGCCCCTCGGCAGCCCATTTCAGAGCCTGACAGCCCTTTCTGTGAACAAATTTTTCCTAATGTCTAGCCTAAACCTGCCCTGGTGCAACTTCAGACCATCGATTTGGGATATCCCAGTCCAGCACCCATCTGTCTGGGCACCAGCTCTGCAGAGCCCTCCTCAGCACGGGGACACAAGTGCCAGCAGAGACATGGTTCAGGCACCTGGGAAAAGCCAAAAGGAACCTGGGACTCTGCAGTGGGACTGATGGAGCTGGGGCAGGGGGTTGTCCTCTGCAAGAAGGTTGCACTGATGTCTCTGTTGCCAGAGAGGAGGGGATGCTCTCAGGACATTCGGTGGGGCAGCTGTGCTTGCCCCATCCCTCCCTCACTCTCTGGGGTGCTGCTCCAAAGGCGCATGGCAGGAATGATGCACAGGAGACGTGCTCTGTTTTCCCTTGCCTCCTGCTGCAGGAGGGTGGCAGGAGAAGCTGGGGAATGGGAGGAAGGTGATGGCTGGGCTGGGGTGTGCGCGGGGCCATGCAGCTCTGGGATGTGCTGGTCTGAGGCCAAAGGTTTGCCTCTGGGAGCAACAGGGGCTGGGGGGAGTGGGGAGGCCATGGGGCTGCTGGGGAGGTGATGGGGAGGAGGCTCGGGGGGAAAGGGGGGAGCGAGGTGGCACCTACTCGACCCTCTGCGCACATCTCTGTCCTGCTGAGATCATGGGGGGGGTCAGAGCGAGCTGGGGGACAAGGCAGGACTTGGTTCCCCGGGGTGTGTCTCCTCCATGGGAGGAGGAGGAGGTGGGGGGGTCTCCCCTGTAAACCTGCTCCATCTGGGACAACTGCCTCAGCCTGGCCCTGGGGACCTGCCGGCCCTCCCTTCCCCAGCCCTCCTGCTTCCAGGAGATGGCATCACTGGATCACGGATAGCAGCACCGAGCCCCAGGGAGCGCCCGGGGAACCCTGGCCGCTCTCCCTCTCCACTGCATCCTCCTGGTTTCCACCAGGACTCTCAGGTCTGGAGGACTAGCAGGAGCTCCCTAGGCTGGGTTTGGGGTCTCTGGGGTGGGATGGAGAGGGTACTGCCACCTCCTCTTGTTCAGCTGGGGACCCCCAGGGGCTCTAGCAGCCTCTGACCTGCTCACCCATGAGACCCCGGTGTGGGTGGCATCCTAGGGCACCAAGGGTCCCCAGCAGCACCCGTCAGCCCCAGTCTAGCAGCTGGGATTCTCCTCAGGGAGCCCATGGAGGGGAGCCCATGGAGGTGAGGCCATGGAGGGCCTGGCTCTTCCTCAGCATAAGCTTTGCCAACCACAATCCTCAGCAGCAATAAAGGGGCCAAAGAAAAGGAAAAGAGGGAAGTTCTTGTCGGTGGATCTTTATGGCCCAATTGTCTTCCCCTGCCCCCTTCACCCCGTGCCAAGGGTGCTCATGGCACTGCTGTTAGCAGGCACCTGGCGATGCTGTGCCCTGCCGAGCCCTTCACTCACCATGGGGAGGATGTGGTGTGAGGTCCTGCCCCGGACCCCCAGTCCCTGGTGGCTGCCTGAGCCCTTGGCCTTGGCTCCATGAGCTGGGAAAAGGGAAAGGGGGTCCTGGGCTGCCTGTGCCCTTGGTCTTGGCTCCATGAGCTGGGAAAAGGGAAAGGGGGGCATGGGCTGCCTGTTAGGAATAAACCCAGCATTCACTGAAATGCAGCCACCCCTGGAGTAGGACCCAGCATCCCTCCATACCTCCCACCACCGCTCAGGGGGGATTTTCCTCCTTTTTTCCCCACTTCCTGAGCCAGCGGCTCTTTGCTGGAGGAGGAGGAAGGTGGCCTTGCCTCTCTTGTTTAAACAAAGCCATGGCTGTGCTGAGACCTTGGGAAAAAAACAGAATAGATGAGTTTATACGGTGCATCAATCACTCTGCACTGCAGCATGAGCTGAGCTCGTCACCAGGTGGGACAGTCGCGACGGTCACCTTTGTCGTGAGAGAGGGAGCCAGGGCAAGGCTGGGCGAGGGGTGCAGGGAGGATGCTGCAAATTGCTCACCTCTCGCGGAGCCTTGCCAGGTCTCAGGAGGCAGAGCCTGGGTGATGCCAGCTCTGGGGGTGATTTCCCATTGCTGGGGTTTTACTCTGCTCCCTTCTTGCAAACCAGATCCCTCACCTCTCCCCGTCCCCCTTTGATCTCATCCTGGCAGGAAGCGGATGTGGCAGAGGGACACCCCTGTAATATTGTCACCCAGTTGCATCAGGAATCGGGGCTGGAGCAATGGGCCGGGGCACCCAGGGTTGATGCAGAGCTGCTGCGGATCCATGGCTCCGGGGTCGGGGGTGCTGCCCCGTTACGGCTCCAGCGCGCTGGGCTTGGTTGCAGGGTGGGAACGACAGCAGCCTGGCCCAGCTGTGGTGGGGAGGGCTGCGAGCTGGGTACAGCTCTCGCAAAGTCCACCGTCAGCAAACAGAGGACAGCAGGGCTGCAGGGGCTCTGGGACGTGCTGATCCCTCCGCGAACACAGGATTGCTCAGGATGCTGTGGGGAGGAAGGGCTGGTGTGGGGGCAAGCAGGGCCCCAGGGAGCACTGGTGGCTGGGTGCTGTCCTCGACCCGCCAGCTAAGGCTGGGGACATCTGCCACCGGCTGCTGGGGGGGAAAGGAAGAAATGATTGTGCATCAAATGCACTGAGCTCCTTGAGTCAGAGTAGCTTTGCCAGTTTTGTTACCATTTTCCTTTTAACCCCACAAATCTGGGAGGCAATTCCACAGTGGAAACACTTCCCAGGTTCGTATAAAGAAAACGCCTGAAAGTCTTGTGTTTTATCCCTTCCTCTCAATTGCATTCTAAATCTCTTTTTTTTTCCTGCTTTCTTTTTTCCCCCTTGTTCCTTATTGTCAAATTCCAGGCTGTTTCTATCCCAGGAGGATGAGGACTGCTCAGTCCATGCTTGTGTTTCCGGCAGGGGAAGGGGCTGGTGCAGAGAAAAGGACAGAGGTGGCCTTGGGGAGGTGACAAAACACCCTCCTGGAGCATCTGCGGGGCTGTGCTTTGGTTTGAGGGAAAAAGCCAGCCTGCAAACGGTGGCTGTGACAAGGCGGTGGTGGCCAGCACAGTGTGACACTGGCAGAGAGGGGGGTGCCGGCGGGGACGGGGCTCCCAGCTGCCAATGATGGGGTTTTCTGCCTGGGTGACACAGAGCCGGTCCTCGGTCCCTCGTCCCCCTCCGGAGCGAAGGTGTGTCTGGGCTGACGGGTGATGAGTAGGTGGTCACCCACCTTCCAGGCACACACGGCTTCACGGGGGGGCCATTTCTGCTGGGGTTTCCCTACCAGAAAACTTATGGGGACCTTCTTGCTTCTTTAAGAAAGAAAACAGGCAAGAAAAATCTCTTGCCACAGGGTTGGGAGCCCCTTGGGGCCATGTCGGGGCCCAGGGACTCCCTGTTGTCTATGGCAGGGGCTCTGTCTGTCCGTCTGTCCCGCTCTCCGGGGCTGGGCTGAGCTTTGCTGTTGGGGCTGGAGGGGTGAGTTTGCCCCTATATGGAGTAAATGCAGGGGGACCCAGAGCCTTCCCTTCCCACCAGCACCCCATTTCCGAATCAGGGGGATCCTGCCACTGGGTGCGGGAAAGCACCATTCCAGAGTGAGGGTTCGGTGTCCCCAATGTGGGAATGGGGCTGGTGGCAGGCACAGCCCAGCTTGTCCCCTGACTGCAGATGGGCTTTAATATGAGGGCTCAGACCAAGGCACCCTGCTCCTGGGGTACGGATGGCTTCAGCGACAGGGTGGGTTCCCTTGGGGCATCCTCGATGCCCATGATACCCTAGTGTCCCCAAAGCCGGCTGCCACAAAGGGACCATGGCTGGTGGCGTGAGGACGGCTGTGGGGTGGTGACAGCAGAGGAGACACAGGGTCCTCAGTGCTCCCAGGGGTCACCCACCGCCTTGGCCCCCCTGCAGCCGGGGTGGGAGGTTTGAATTCGCCCCCCTCGCCCGCTGGGGTTCCTGCACTTTGAAATGCAAACCTGCCTTTCAATGCAAATGCTGCGAGAGGTTGGGCCCAATAAAAGCCTGTGGGCAGGGAGGTGCCTGGCCCCAGGACACAGCTCCCCAAGGCGCCCAGGTGAGCGGCAGCGAAGGAGGGGCGGCCACCTCCCTGCCAAACCCAAGCCAGCCCCCAGCCAGCGGCACGGCGGTGCAGCATGTGCGCGGAGCCCGACGGGGAAGATGTATGTAGGTTATCTTTTGGATAAGGACACCAACATGTATCCCAGCCCCGTCCGGCACCCCAGCCTCAACCTCAACCCCCAGAATTACGTGCCGGCGCCGCCCCAGTACTCGGACTTCGCCAGCTACCACCATGTGCCAGGGGCTCCCCCCACACCCCTGCCAAGGAGGACTGGCATTCCTACGGGACCGCTGCTGCGCCTTCCACCACCAGCCCGGGGCAGTTTGGATTCAGCCCCCCAGATTTTAACCCCATCCAGCCCCCAGGCTCTGGACTCCTGCCTCCGCCCATCAGCAGCTCCTTCCCCCAGCTCTCCCCTAACGCCCAGAGGCGCACCCCGTACGAGTGGATGAGGCGCAGCATTCCCAGCACCAGCAGCAGCGGTAAGGACCCCCCGAGCCCCGCACCCCCTGTGCCTTCCTCAGTGCAGGGCATCTCTGGGCTTGAAGTCCTGTGGGGCTGGATTCTGCTCCATGGCTCTCCCTGCGTGGGGACAGAAGGGACAGTACACTTGGCCTGGCATCTCAGCATGGCGCCTGGTCCCCAAAGAGCGGAGGGACCCCACTGATGGGGTGGCAGGGGCTGAGGATGGGCAGGGAGGGTACCGTCCTTCCGCATTGCTGGCAGCCGGGGTTATATGTTGGAAAGTCCTTTTTCCCAGCTCATCTCTGCTCCTGCACCCCTGCCCTCGCCTGCCGCCCCTGGGTAGGATGGGCAGAGCCAGAGACCCCCGGGATCCGGGGCCCTGCCAGCCCCGGGGGGGTGTGGGACGGGGTGTCTCGTGTGTGCAAGGGTGAGTGTGTGGGGCTGTGAGCCAGTGTGCAGCTGCGTGTGAGAGCCAGGTACGGGGGGGCGTCTGCATCTGCAAGGGGCCTTGTGCTGCGGGCACGTGTAGTGTGTGTGTGTATGTGTACAGGGAAGGTACTGTGCGTATATATGAGGAGGGAAGGTGCTGCATGTGCTGGGTGTATATATATATAAGGTGTTCTCAGTGCGTGTGAGGCACTATAGGCTCTGTGTGCGTGTGCAAGGTGCCACAAGCAGCACGTGTGTACAGGGCTTGCTGTATAGACAGTGTCCATGAGTGTGTACAGGGGATGCTACAGGCTCACTGCATGTGTGCAAGGTGTGGTGCATTGAGGACAGTGCCATGTGTGGTGTGCGTGCAAGGTGCGGGGGGTGTGTGCATGCCCAGTGTGTGCATGCACGGGTGGTGAGTGTGCAAGGTGCGGTGTGCATGCATGGGTGGTGAGTGTGCAAGGTGTGGTGTGCGTGCACAGGTGGTGAGTGTGCAAGGTGCGGTGTGCATGCATGGGCGGTGAGTGTGCAAGGTGCAGTGTGAATGCACAGGTGGTGATGCATGCCCAGGGTGTGCGTGCACAGGTGGTGAGTGTGCAAGGTGCGGTGTGCACACATGGGTGGCAAGTGTGCAAGGTGTGGTGTGCATGCACGGGTGGTGAGTGTGCAAGCTGTGGTGCATTTGGGGATGGTGCCACATGGAGGGTGCATGTGGGTGCCCCGGGTTCAGCACACTGCGTGTGCGTGTGCAACAGCGTGCGGGGGCCGTACAGTGTGTGAGCGGGTGCCCCCACTCCTGTGCCTACCGCTGGCCTGGGCACTGAGCGGCCATGCTGTCCCCAGGGTCCTGTCCCTCTGTCCCGGGGTCCTGTCCCCACTGAACTCCTGACCTGGGCGGGGGGGGGGGGGGGCCTGCTGCCCACTTCAAAGGCAGTGGGCAGATCCCCCCTTGGGGCCAGCCCAAATTGCCAAGGGCTTGGCTTTGTCATGGAGATGGTGGCCGGCTCCTTTGGCAGCGAGGTGAGGTGCGGGGCCCTTTGTCCTGCCGTGCCCGCACCCTTTCATCTTCCCCTCCAGGCCGCCATTGCCACTGCCAGCCCAGCCTGGACCCTCCACCCGTCCTGCCCCCCGCGGGACCCTCTGCCTGCTGGGCTCGCCCAGACCCCCCACCCCTCTCCCGTGATGGCCATGAGCTCCACAGAGGCTCCTTTGGCAGCGAGGTGAGGTGCGGGGCCCTTTGTCCTGCCGTGCCCGCACCCTTTCATCTTCCCCTCCAGGCCGCCATTGCCACTGCCAGCCCAGCCTGGACCCTCCACCCGTCCTGCCCCCCGCGGGACCCTCTGCCTGCTGGGCTCGCCCAGACCCCCCACCCCTCTCCCGTGGTGGCCATGAGCTCCACAGACCACTGCTGGGGCCAAACTCACTACAGGAGTGTTCTGTGCATCTCTCGGGGCTGAGTTTGCTTTTGGTTGCCCCATATCCCTGGCATCGTGGCCAGGGCTCCCTGTTTGCAAAGTGTCTCCACTTTTAGGCTTGTTTCTGGCTCCCCACTGTCCCCGCGCAGGGCTGGCCAAGCCCCGTGTAGAGACCCTCGTGCAAGGGGCCCGCGCGCAGCGGC